GCAGCCTGAATCTGTCTGAGGTGACGGACTGCATGGAGCATGCGCTGACCGCCTGCCACCCCCGCACCCGGTACTCAGCTGGCTGGGACGCCAAGCTTCTCTACCTCCCCCTGAGCTACATGCCCACCTTCCTGGTGGATGCTGTTGTCACCTGGGGCCTCCCACGGCCAGAGAAGGCCCTGTGAAACTATACTGGGGATACTTGTTTCAGTAGGGTTGGACACTGTGGGGAGATGTGTCCTCAGGAGAAAAATGCAGTGGAGGGGGACAGCTCTCATGTCAGCTGGTCTCCTGTCCTACCTCATTCCTCGTCTCTGGCCATGGTTGTCCTGGGATACCATTCAGGGCTCCAGAGAAGGTGTGAGAAGGTGCCTAGTCAGGCAGCTGAGGAACAAGGACCCAGTAGCCCCCCTGGGTGGGTGTGGTGTTGCCCTGTGTGGCCAATCAAGATTTGAGGTCTCCAGGCAAAATGGTGAGGTGACAACTGGGGTGTGGGAGAGCAGGTGGACAGAGCCTCAGCCCACAGTTTATCAGCCTCCTGCCCACCTCCTCAAGTGCACATTGGCCAGGCCAGTGGGCTCCCTCCCACAGGATGGAATTGGCCTGAAGGTTCTGAGGAGCCCCCACCTCCCCTCAAGATACCGGTGCCCTTAGGGTGGGGGATGGGGAGGGAAAACCTTACCTTGGCTCGTCAGACCTCAGGCATCAACTTAGCAGGCATTAGCTGGAGGGGGGGTCTCCATAGAGATATTTGCAGAGGACACATAAACCACTATTTTCTTTGACTTGACACCATGGATTTCCTTTGTGATTTTTTTCCTAGAAGATGTTGATAAGATCAGCCATTCCCAGGGCTTTTCAGATTTGCAAAGCTCCCCTTGGATTTTAGACAAATGCGACAGAAATCTCTGGCTGTGCCTGTGTTTCCTCATGCAGCTGAGCCTGCAGGATTAATTTTGCAGAGAGCTGAGTCCCTATTGGTCTCTAGAACGACAAGGTTCTGACAAGAAGAACGGACTAACTGGGCCCTCCTGATCCGGTGATTCTCTGTAAAGGAGTGTGGGGTCTCAAAAGGAGAGTCTGACTTCAGAGACCAGAAAGGAGAAGGAGAGGATTAGAGACTCACAAACTGCAAGAAGGAATCTTCCAGGGCCCCTGGGAGGGAGGAATGAAGCGAGTCACACAAATTGGTGCAATAGTTTGTACCTTTTACGTCCTGAACATGCTCTTTCTGAGGTTTGGGATGGCCTCAGGGCCAGTAGTGTGCGGACCTATGGCAGCAAGAGGCAGGTTCCTTCATGCAGCTCAGGGATTCCAGGGATAACCTGGAGTGGGATTTAGAGGGCACCACGGGATTATCACTGCTCCCTCTCTAGCCTTCTTGACATAGAAGCCAGAGGCAATGATTTCCTGTCTAGGCATCACAAAGTACCCTGGAGTCACAGGAACAACAGAAGGACAAGCAAGTGAGAGGAAGGCAGTGAGGCCTGGCAGGGCCCAGATCCCTTTTCTTGGAAAGCTGAAGCCTTCCTGCCTTCACCAGCATTCACCCTGTGGTCCTCAGGGAGCAGCTTTCATCTACAGTTACTGCACTTCCCTCTGGTGGCATCTCTTGGGCCCCTAACCCCAACCTTTACAGACCAGCCCCTAGAGGGGCAGTCATTTCTGTACCCCGGTTTTTCATTTCCTGCTCACATTGGGAGGTTGGTATGAGCTGGAGAAACATTCTCTGGGGTCTCTCAGGTTTCCTGAGCTCTGGCCTCCCTGTGTCCTAAGTGCCCTGTTGATGATCAGGGTGGGGTCAATGGAGCAGCCTTTGCAGGAGGTGACACAGACTCCTGGGCTAAGTCAGTGTGTGCCTGGGATGTACTTCCCAGGGTTCTTGGTTTTCATCCCTGCTCATATAAAAATTGAGCATATGGAGGTTTCTGGGAACCTTGTGACGTTGAACAAATCAGTGTTGCTGGTGAAAAGAGAAAATGAGCTGAGACTCCTGGAAATCATGACGTCAGCATTGGTGTCAGGCATGTAAATGCTGAAGGTGTGAAGATGGCCAGGAAGGGTCCTCCAGGAGCTCCAAGGCCCTGAGTGCTGTAGGGTCAGGCCATGGAGTGTCCATGCATGGTGCCCCCTCAACGGCAAACCAGCAGTTTCCTATGCAATCTGAGGCCTCCAGACTTCTACAAACCAATTCCAACTTTCACAACACAGAGATATGCAGGCAGACTGGCACATACACACCCGCGCACACATACACATACACGGAAACTAAGTGAACTCAAATAAGAGACAGTGGACCCTTGGGAGCTCCCTAGGCAGCCGCTCAGGAGGCATGACCCACCCACAGGAGTCTTCTCCAGAGAGGCAGACAGCTATGGGGGTGCAAATCCCTGCCGCTTTCTTGGGGCT